TCATTTTACTATAAGAATGTATTTTTAGTAATTTTAGATACAAAAATGTATTGCTGGTAATTTTACCATAAAAATATATTTTATACTTTCATAGTGTTTTGTTTTTGTTAGGGGGTTCAATATTTGCCCATAGCTGGGACCCTAACCGGTGCTACCATCCTAGGTCAGTGTGGACCTGGGAACAATAGTAATTAACATGTAGTTTTATAAGCCTCAAAACCTCCAACTGCCCAATCAGTGGCCCTTACTGTCAGATGTAGTAGGGAATCAAATAACCTATTTAACTGTACATAACTAAATAGTTTAACAGTGATATTAAAGGAGCAAAACTTATTTAGAGCAACAAATAACAGTAAGTTTTGGAGAGCCATGATCACCCATGTCCTAAAAAGATGACAATACCATGATTCAGAATACTCAGTCATTCAGAAGACTTCAATCAGATAGTCCACACACTTCTGCTGTTAAGAGAAGTAAGAGAAAACAGGAAGTAATCTACTTAACAAATACGTGCAAAGGAATGGCACAATAAAGACAAAGATAGATGGTAAGGTGTCAAAAACTACTTAGAGCAACAAAAAACAAGAAGTTGTGGAGAGCTATGATCGATCAAATACTCATAGGAGATGGTGCATAAAAGAAGAAGCAGTTATGAGAATGATATATATTTTCAAACCACTTAGCTTTCATAAATGCATTTGGTATATTTTTACTTTTCCTTTTGACTACAAATTTTTATGGATGCTGCAGGTAGAAATAAATCTGGGATGAAGTATAGGTTTTGTTCCTTGCTCTTCATTAACACAAGTATTGCAGGTTAAATTGGATAATGTGCATTGAAGTAGTTTCCATACTTTGCGAAAGCTTCCAGCCTGTCTTGAGTGATTTACTTGTTTATTAGTGCATATTGGTTGTTTTTAATGCCTTTCAAAACAAACTTGAATTCATGTTTATTTCCATATACTGCATGAAGAAAAATCCATGTATTGTCATACTTCCTCACATCTTCCTATTAAGGTTTCTTTGTATTTACATGGCACTTAACAAAGATTAAATAAGATGAGTATGTCATAAGGCTAAAAATTTGGAGCACTCAATGAGGAATGTTTTCATTTCAGTAGTAATTGTCTATCACATTAGGTTTCTAACACTTGCTCCATGACAAAATAATTTTTTTTTAAAATGTTATGTCTCTTCAGTATGGAGATAACAATGAATCTCCACAGATCTTTATTATCTGTAAATTTCCATGCATTTTTGTGAAAGATAATGGATCAATTTCCTATTGTGTTCTGTCCTGGGTATGACGAAAAACTACATCCATGTCCTGGGTAAGACGATAAACTATGTCCAACAGCAAGGCCTCTGATAAGGAGGTTTTAAGAATGTGGAACCACCTCTTAATTGCTCGCGTTCCCAGGTCCACCTTGACCCAGGATGGTAGCACCTGTTAGGGTCCCAGCTATGGGCAAAAAGTTAACCCCCAAAACTGAGGTAAAAATCATTATAAATGTGTAAAAATAGGTTTTAATACTAGACATACTTTTTAAAAAATTATTACCAGAAATAAATTTTTGAAGATAAAAACTATTATCAGCGGTATATTTTTGAAAAAAAATATTACCAGCAATACGTTTTTGAAAATAATATTACCAGCTATACATTTTTGAGGAAAAAAAATGTTACCAGAAATAGATTTTTGACAAAACAAAATATTACCAGGAAAAAAAAAAAGTTGTTGTCATTAAATAACTCATTGAGGTTGATATGTCATAAAACAAAACAAACCAAACCAATCATATTGTGTTCTTCATGATTTGGCATCTAGAGTCTTCTTCTCTTAGGCTGGTTGCCACCAAAAAAAAGTAAGTCTAGATTATCATGCTATTTAAACTATAGACAGTTAAAATCAGCATATTGGAGCAAACCACCACTTCCTTCATATTCGAATGGTGAGATATAAGTTCCATGAATAGCTTCTCCCCACAATCTGCTATTTTGTGTAACTGATTCCCAATAAGATGCACTTCCCTGATCACTACAATCTTAAACTATTCATGTCTTGAGTTAACCATTATCCATATAAACTGTGCTCCTTACCTTTTACTCTGTAACCTTGAGTGGCTCTTATACCTTGTACAGAATGAACATTATTGTAAAAAAAAAAAAGAGAGAGAGAGAAGACTTGATTGATTCATAATTTTTTTCATGTGCCTTTGTATGAAGGTGAATGCAACTAAGCCAAAAATTGAACTCAGCTCTCTAATTCCTGCACTGATATCCAGTAAACTACCACACATCCATGACAAAATTATTTGGAGATAAGTTCAACATTTGTGGAAAATGAGTTTTTTTTTTCTTTAAATTTGGCTGTAGTGAGTAGTTTAATACTTCTGAACTTTTTGTGACATTCTCAACTTGGACTGTACTTCTTTCAAATATTAGTATATTCACACCATGTTACTTTTCACTGCCTTGCCCTGAGCAATGTCTGGCATTTGATTCAACATAAAAGAGTAAAGAAACTTTGGCAATTTTATATTTGTCTCCTCTCTACAAGCAACATAAGTCACAAAATATATTCAGACAATGCTTTAAAAAAAATTTCAATGTCATAGCTCCCAGCAATCCTCTAGTCCAATGTCCAAGTCATCCAATTTTAAGAACGTTTTTAAATAACATTTACTAAATTTAGCTTAGTCAAGGACTATACCTTTTCAACTTCAAATTGAGAAAATTTGACTATCAACAGAATTTCATTTTTTTGTTCTAAGTATGAGATCTTTTATAAAAATAAAATATTCATCACTGGCAGAGTAATGTCTTTGTCCAAAGAAACATCTATCTAATATTAAAATAACACCAACATGCTATAAGTAATAAGTAATAAGTATAAGTTTTGAGAAATTTCAATTATTGTTTTTTTGTTCTCCCTCCCATGGGGCTAAATTCACCAAAGTCTAGTACCATTAAACTATGAGGAAATTAATGTTTAATTTTTTTTTTTTTTGGTACATTGATTTACCTTTTGATATTTTCTAAATTATTTTCTATAAAAACCAAATTATATTAGAATTAATTATAAAAACCTTAGTTAATAATGTAATTGGCATTAATATCTTTCTGTAGCACAATTCTGAATATTTATTTTGAATGATATATATGCAAAATTTGGTACAAGGCTGATATTATGGAATGGAAGAGGAAGGTCATCACTACCTTAAACTTTAACTTAGCTAGTCACTGACCCACTTATTTTGTAATTAAAGTCATTCATTGTAATATCTCATTTGTACTGCTCATTCATAAAATCATAACCCATAATACCACATTTCTCTATGAATAAATCCACGACTATATAAAGACTATATGTGCAATTTTATTCATGTAGGAGATAAGAATTTACAAAAATAAAACCCCAATGAATTACATACAGAATATGTAAAAATGTCCACACATATTTTGAATCAAGTATTAGTAGAGTACACACTCATTCTAATTGTGACAGAAAAAAAGTGAATTCACCAGCTGGAACAATACACAGGATTTGTAAAATAGTATGCAATATTCTGGCATTTGTACTAATTACACATACACTAATTTAATATATTTACTAAGCTTTGATTAATTTGGCACAAGGCTGTAAGGAAGGGACATCTAGTGAGTAGCAATTATTATCAGTGAGACAATTACATTATGACAAGGTACCTGTTTTTAATGCCATTTTAACAATTTGAAGATGTTCAATGTGTTTGCCAGCAAAGATAAGATATGCAGTAATGATTCAGACCCTCTCCAACTTTCAACATAAATCAAACATGAAAAAGTGAATACTACAAAAAGATTTAGTTTGTATTATACTACTAGGCTAATGACTGACCACAACATGTGGCCAAAACTTTGAAATGGTTGAATTTTTCCTCTTTTACCATCACAATCTCAACAAAGTATTTGTTGAATAACTGAAATCTTATACCAATTCACTCACTATTACATGATAATTAAGCAGATTTTAAATTATCTTCATGATTATATCAGCTTGAGTATTATATATTCACTGTTAGAAATTGAGAAGATAATTTCTCCATATTATTGGTGCTTATTTAAGTCTTAAAGATAAAAAGAAAAATAACTGATTAAAGCAAAACACAAAAGAATTGATCCAAAGTCAATACATAGCAGCTCCATCTTGTGATGTTGTCAAGTAAAGCAGTCAATTCAACAAATGCAGGGATCAATTTTCCAAACAGAGGGAATCCATTACCCAAATGCAAGGAGTCAATTTACCAAAAGCAAAGAGTCAATTTCACAAACAATGCAATCAATTTCCCAAAGCCAAGAATCTTACAAATATTGCAATCAATTTTCCCCAAATGAAAATAGGCAATTTCAAAAATAGTTCTCCTTTATGAACCATGTCTGTTCATGGCTCTTCACAGCTTTCCATCCTTTGTTACTTTCAGCATTAATTTCTCCTTTGTGATGCTGTCACTTTTTGATATTTATTCCTTTATCCACTTACAAAATCTGTCAAATACATTCTTTACTGCTTCTCTGTTTCTTTTGCCTTTGATAAATTCTTTGAGCATTAAAGTCTCCAAGCCTTCTTTCCTCATTATGAGCCCTAAGAATTTCGTCTGTCTTTTGCCAACAGTTTCTACATATTTCTGCTTCTTGTTAGAACTTCCAAATTTGTCACATGCCATAATCATAGTTTTCTCAATATCTTAGTTGTTTGAAATCTTTCTTTTTTTTCTTTCATGAAAAACTTTTCCAGTTTTCACTGCAATCTAGAAAGGTAGAGATCACAGAAGGTAGAACCCTCTTTTCTTAATTACTAATATTATTCTTTTCACCTTAAAGGTACCTTACACAATTTCAGAAACACATAATTTTGATGACTCTGATGTGAAACCCACATTGCCAACCAGTGCTTTTGTTCATCACTATCTATTCTGTCTTACAATTTAAAGTCAGTCTTTCTTGTATATCATTTTGCTTATGGCCATGTCAATTTGAAACCAGTTCCTGTACGATCACTGAAGTTAAGCAACATCGAGCCTGGTCAATACCTAGACGGGTGACCATTTGGGAATAGCAGGTGCTGTAACATTGGATATGTCAGCAGAGTAATGAATAATGGCTTCGATTTGTTAATCAGAGAGCTGAGATCCAAGTTCCTGTTTGTGTGGGTTTGTTATATTCACTTATGCGCAAATACCCTTGGGAAAGGCATGAATCCACATCTCCCTCAGCTATGAGTTAATCAGTAAGGCTTGTATCATTGAACCATTATTATCTCCCCACCCAAAACTTCTTACAATCTAAAAATATTTTCTGGCTTTAAATAACCTGTAAGCTATAGAAAATGAATCATGCAATCAACTATTTCATTGTGAGATGAAGAATTGACCATATACTTTTCATTTATTTGAACTATTGTTATCTTGATTATTATAGATGTTATTATAGACACAATATTTCAGCCAAATACTCTTTGGCCATCTTCAGGTATCCATAGCTGATATGGGATATCTGTTTATTATTGCATTATTTTGTCTGTGATGGAGTTCTTGTTCATTTTCATGTTCATTTCCATCTTTATGTAATAGTTCTTTCAGTGTAACTCCTGAATGAAGACAGTCAAGTTGTCAAGATCAGAAAATAACACCCAGCCATGATTATTTTTAAAAATATTTTCAGAAATTAGAAACTAATTTGCAAAATGTTTAATTGCCCAGTTTTGTTCCAGACACTGGCCGAGAGATAATTAAATGAGCAAATAATGTTTATCATTAGAAACAGGGATTTGTGTAGATAAGATTAGGATCCTTAGCCTGATGATGACAGTAATAAATAAACCAAGAAATAGAGAAAAGGAGACATTCTCTTTTCTAAAACCCACAAACATCTAAATTAAAATCTTTGCCCGGATAATGATCCTGATGTCAGGTTGGATTCAAATTTGAGCTTTTTTATGGATTTCTGTTCTATTCTAATCATTTCATTGGCTGATTTACAGCCAAAAGATGTTAACAGTTGTTTCACGGAAAGGTTATGGGATTAATCTTTGCTCTTTGTTTGACACATTATTTATCATCCTTGTCACAATTTGATGGAAATATAAGTCTTCGAACAATTTCAATGGAAAGCCCATATATACATTTATGTGAGTGTGTGCATGTTTCATGAGAGAGAAAAATAGAAAAACAAAGAGCAACAGATAAAAAAATCTATCAGCTGTATACTATCACTTTCTCAGATCAATGGTTAAAAATGGCTTTGAAAGAGTGCGCATGTCTCAACAAGGATCACTCTTCTTTGAAACCTGTGGACATTTCACAGAATCCTCAGGCAGTAAAAATGCAATACACATAAAATAATTTTATTTTATGACTATTAATAGCTTTTAACAGAATTCTCAGATAGTAGAAAAGCAATATAATACTCATAAAATAATCTTATTTTAACATGTATTATATTGCTTTTGTAAACCAGAGGGTTCTGAAAAGGTTTTCAAATGATCCAGATACCCTAACTCCTACCAAAATCAGATATCTGGTCATATAGTCAAAATTTGGAAAGAGGATCAGATCAAAGATTTTTCAGACCTCATCTCATTCACCTGTATACATATCATTGTATGAAAAATTATTTGAGAGAGCATTTTCTTCATTTTTGATGATTTCTTATTGTGAATGATCTGATGACATTTACACTAGTGACCAAAATCTTCAGGCCAATGAAAGTAAAGCAAAAATATATGTTTTGTATTGTTGGACTCAACCACTTATTTGAGTAGAGCTTCAAAAAGTGAAAATAAGTAAAATAAAAATTAAAACGTTTTTTACCATTTAATAGGGACAATTTGAATACAGGGAAATTAGATTAAATAATCTGTGGTCAAAATTTTAACACTATATTTGATTGGTAAATATATAATTAAATGTAATCATTTGTGTTCAAACATTAAAGCAGTCAACAATTCTCACTGGTATCTCCTGTGTTACATTAGGTAAAAACATGTCAAATTTATCAGAGTTTGAATGTAACAGAATTGTCAAGCTGCAAAAGCAAGGTCTCTTTCAATGCTGATGAGATTGGATGTAGTAAAACTGCTGTTGCAAACTTCTTAAAAGACCCTGAGGTATATATCAATACTTTATTATAAAATTTTTTGTATCATTAACAATATCTAAAATAATGATTTTTGCATAATTATGAATACTTTACTACAATTATTTTTAAATAAATATTCAGCCAGTTAAACTAATACTTAACTGACCTCCTTTGGTCACTGATCAATGCTATTTGATATTTTCTGTAGCCTTCAATAAAACTTCTGCATTTCTCACTCGGTATTTTAAACCATTCTTCTATAGATAAACATTCCAAATTATTCAGAGTTGATGGCTTCCATTTATAAACAGCAATTTTCAATTCATGCCACAAATGTTCAATTGGGTTTAGGTCAGACAATTGTGAAGGTCATTTAATTACGAACACCATTTTTCTTTTTAAAACATTCTAATGTGATTTTCAAAGTATGTTTTTGGCCATTGTCTTTTTCAAAGATGAATTGCCTACCAAAGGACAAATGATTTTTTGAACGAAGAGACTAAGATGTTAGCAAATTCATTTTCTCCTCAATTTTGATGAGTCACCTTGTACTGTCTCCAATAAAGTAACCCAATCAAGTCATAAGTCCACCACATATGCTTTGTTGGTATTTTTTAAATTGTGTGTCATGTTCTTTTTTCTCAAAATGTAATATTGTTGATTATGTCCTAAAAGTTCTTTTTTTTGTTTTTTTTAAACAAAAGAATTGTATTCCAATCAGTTAACTGATTTCAAACATTGCAAAGCAAAGCTTTTTGATGCATTTTCTTTAGCAATGTTTTTCTTATAATTGGAGATGGAAAAATCAAGCAACTACAGGAATTTAAAGATCTCTTAAAATGTTTTAACAGGTGACAGAAAATGTGACACAAAAATGTAAAGGTTTAATGGAATAGCCAAAGAAGCCTACAAGAAGTTAACAAAGTACTAAGAAAATCTTTCATAAACAGAGTGTTCAACTGCTATGTCATCACAATAATCCTATATGGCAGATGAAGAAAAGACTTGTGCAACAGAGATGTGGTTCTACAGAAGAATGTTGAGAATACCATGGACAGAGTATGTAGGTAATAAGGAGGTTGTTGAAAAAAAAATGAACACTTATATTTAGAATCAGAAAGAGATAGCTGAAATTTCTGAGACATAATGAAGAAAGAGGGTTTGGAGAATTTGATACAAAACATAACGAAAGCTCGAGAAAAAGAGTGAAATAGTAAGTGACCTTCTTAACAAACTTCTGTAAATGGATGGTAAGACAAGGAGTCAGAGGGATATTAAAGGGCAAACACTGTTAGAAATTTCTTATTTTTTTACAATGATGTTCACTGTATACAAGGCCTGAAAGCCACTCCAGGTAGAGAGTTACAGAGTAATAGGCAGAGATAATGGGTAAACATAGACTTCAACAAGTTAAGATTCTAGTGATCAGGGAAGCACCCTCTTGGGAGTCAGTTCCACAAAGCAGTGGTTCATGGGAAGAAGTTGCTTGAGTGGAACGTACATCTCACCAATAGAATACAAAGAGAATAAGAATGGTTTGCTACAATGTATGTTGCATGGTAGGTCTTAGCCATGAAGATTAGAACTGGTGGAGCTAAGGAATGTACTTCATCTGAACACTTTCCATGGAAATAGCAATACAATGGTGTGTGGCTTGCAACATTTCATCAGTAAGAAAGGAGTTGTAGGGTGGAAAATAATTTGTCACCCACAAGGATGTGGAGACACTTTTGGACTATCAAGACTGAGAAGTGAAGACTGGACAGCTCCTGCCCATATATGGTAACAATACACTATTTTCAGCCTGATCTGGCCCTTGTAAAAATAGAGGATATCATGAGTAGTCACCAGTTTCATTTTTCAGGCATTGAATCTGACCAGCCAGTTTTTTCCCTGACTCAACTGTTAGGTCAGAAGGGAAATCAGCTTCTAATCTCTGGTTATCTAGAGTTTTGGAAGTACACCCATATACCACTATATCATCAGAATAGATATTCAAAAATGATAAGAGATTGCAAGTAGTGGGGAATCATAATTACCCACATGCTAAAGGGATATGGCAAATAGAAGAAAATCATGAAATCTTTGTTGATTCAATGTTCTACAATATTTGAAGACATGTACATATATTTTTACATTCTTCAGATCTGTCTGGATACTCTTTGCCCTCCATATTGGCTGACTGAAACTTCTCTTGCAATTTTAGTTACTTTCTTGGATGACTAAAAAATGACACACAACTTGAAACTTTTCTTACAGCCTTCCCTGGATTGATAAGCCTCAACCAATTTCTTTTTCAGGTTTTTAGAGTACTCTTTAGTTTTCTTTATAATTGCAAAAATAAATGAATGATCAATTTGTAAAATAAATTTTTATAGGTTTTTAAAGCGATGTTGAGTATTAGAACATACAGTGAGAAAATAATTTTGCACAACAGTTGCTTCTAATTTATAATAAAAATTGCACAGCACCAAAAAAATTGCATCCTTGTATGAAATGATAGAGTGGAAGGGAAATTAAATATTCATTATAGTCGTCACATCTGTATTTGCCATTTCTGCATTCGCAGATAGAAAATTGCAATTTTTTGTCTTAAAAATTCTCATTACCTTCAACTTTACAAAAGTACTGATCCTTTTTCCTTTTTTTTTTCATTCATGCTGAGATCTATTTTTTTTTCAATCCAATTAGAAAATAAAATTAACATGAAATTTGACACTGTCAGTTCCCAGCTTTTCAATCCTTGGCTTTACAGATGAGAGACCTTGTTTCACAGTTCAACAGTTGTTTTAAATATGCAGTAAAAGAAAAAACAATTAATAAAAAACAAATTAAAATTTTGAAAATGATGACTAGAAAAAATACTGTGTTAAGCAGTAAATTCATCATTTAACACCAACCTGGAAGCAGTTGAAAATAATTAAAATTCCGGCTGTATTTTTGTTGTTTTAAATACCACAATGAGTGAAAGCATCACAGTATACTTCTGA